ACCTTAAAAAACTGTTTGATGTTGCTGTCGATAGAATTACGCCAGCAAAATGGAGAACATGTATTGACCATGTCCAAGAGAAGGTTGAAACCAAAATGTGGGATATGGACAATATCATTGACACCCAAGTTGAACCCCTTATAATTGACATCAACAATTCTGATGATTCAAGCTCCTCGGAATAAGGCATATAAATCGATTGATACCATTAAGACTGGCAGTTTAACGGGCTTTTTGGCAAGACGGGTAAGTTCATTATAGACTGCAATCAAAGTGTAAGTTTCTAGTTATTAATGTGGAAATCCCAAATTTATAATTACACAAAATTAGGGTTAATTTAGGAGTTCCAAAGCATAATAGTGCCATTTTGACCTTCTTCCTATTTCTCATGTAAATTTTAATAGCAATCAAACTAACAAACTTTATGGAGTCTGTAATAAACTTCTGTACTACTACTACTACGTCTGTAGTTTTTATTTGCTCAAAAAAATTTGCTCTGCATTGTGAATAGAAGGTTGATTTGTAAATATTATTGGGTATATATGTAAGTTAATAATAAAATATGAACAATTTCAATTGAGATGGTCCACAAGTTTTTTTTCGTGTGCGTTTTAGTAACATTTTGCTGAAATGGTGAATACAGAATTTTTTGCACTGATTCCTAATGTCGAAATATGATTAGAAAGGCGTGGTATATTCCTGATAATTTACTATGCTTTTGATAGAATTTACAGCAACACATATCTTGTACGACATTTTTTGATAGATCAGTCACAATAGCTTGATACGGCCCTGTAGCGTCTCCTACGGTTAAGTTCTTGATCACGTGCAATACGGGTGTATATGTTTGATTTTACTTTGTTTCTTCGATGGATACAGTTTAGTATCTCCCGTGGCAAGAATACAGCGTTTGGAACCATATTTATGAGACAACCCTCGTATAAGCGCATATTAAATGCTTTTTTCAAAGGAAACTAAAGCATGAGCTAGAAAGTGGATACAGGCCTGTATTCACAACTAAGACGCTCGAGTTGGAACAAGATTTGTGAAAAATTCATATGTTTTCTTGAAACTACTGACAAAAAATTACTGTTTCAACCCAACCGGATTGATCGAAAATTAAATCCTTTTATATTGGTGTTTGATACCTTTTGACAAGCTAAAAATACAGGCAGTATTTATACGCTCGTTGTCTTCGCAATTTTCAGGATTAGACACAGTTTTGTTCTAAAAGAAGCTGAAAACCAAACATTTTTTCCCGCAATAACCAGGATCTACATGAGAGTGGTATTTTTGCAGTCTTTATAAACGTATTAGCTTATTATTTTGACACAATTTTCTAGCATACATTTACGAATATAAGGTGAAATTAAAAAAACAAACTGCTACGGTTAGTAGCATATATATATATATATATATATATATATATATAGGTGAAAAATTAAAGCTTCCGCCTTTTGTTGGGTACTTCGACAAAAAAAAAAAAAAAAAAATTTGTCAAAGTACCCAACAAAAGGCGGAAGCTTTAATTTTTCACCTAACTGGTCTAGACGACAATGACCACGTCTCAAGTTATATATATATATATATATATACTGCGATTCATCATGCCTAACACCTATTTTTAATAATTCATTAGTTAATCACTTACGCAGTTAATAGCAATTTCCAGCTCCCAATGGGCATCGTTCAATATTCCAGCATTGTTTATAACAATGTCCAGCTTACTGTACGTCGACTTTGCTAACTGAAAGGCCGCTGAAAAATGAAGTATGATAATATTAACGGACAAGTGTTTCAATTTTGGCAAAGTGGTGTTCTATCAAAACCCTGTCAACAGTTGAAGACATTAGTGGAAAAAAATGTCATGTAGAAATTTTTTTAAAAATTGTTTCTTTTTGCATTAAGCTAATCTTAATGAGTGATTCTCTTATTCTATGATTTCTCTGTCTTAAAAACAAGATAATAGCAGACTAATTTAAATATATTTAAAATTTCAATGGAGTAATACGTTCCAATAGTGTTTAAAGTAAATTTTCTCCATATAGTGATTCATAGATCTCGACCAAAACCATATTTTTCGAGGCAAATGCTGTATTGAGCGACCTTACAGATTTTATTGTATCATTCCTTCTAAACTAAAATCACATAACTAAGAATTAATGATCTTAATCAAGTTTGTAGAGTAATATCATTATTATACCAGGTAACCAAATAAGGTCGTGCGGTTTTTAGTAGGAAAATATATATAAATTTTTATTGGGGAACAATAAGACACTATTTATTCGTCGAAGTAATTACCATCACATTCAATGACCTTTTGTCAACGTGGTACCAATTTTTGTATGCCGGTGTTGTAGGACACCCTGGATTTGAAGTAAAAAAATTGGCGGACTTCATTTATCACCATCTCGAGTTGTGAACTGTCGGTACCTCATACAGTTATCAAGAGACAAAAAAGGTGATAATCACTGGGCGAAATGTCGGGGGAATATGGCGGGTGCAGTAACGTTTCCCAGCCGAGTTCAGAAATGTTTTCTCGGGTCACTTTTGCGGTATGAGGTTTCGCGTTATTCTGCAAGTACATCACTTTTTTCCGATTGATCAAAGAAGGCTGTTTCTGGATGAGTGCTGCTTGTACTCGTCGAAGCTGCTCACAATACAAGTTAGCAGTGATGGTTTGACCTCTTTCCAAAAACTCATAATGGACAATTCCAGTTGCTGACCACCAAACACACAACAAAACCTTGTTTGGGGGCAAGGAAGCCCTGGGTGTTTGTGGTACCGAATCAGTAGGCGACAACCAATGATAGGCACGTTTAGAATTCGAATACAAGATCCATTCTGCGTCGCAGGTTAATAACCAATTAAGAAATGTTTCATTAGCGTTGCGTGAAATGTTTGCTGAACAAATGACTGAAACGACTTAATTTGTTATCATTTGTCAGTTCATGTGGGACCCATTTGCTTAACTTCCACGGCTTTCCTAGCTGATGAAGATGCAAACAAATAGTTTCAGGACTCACTCTGAACATTTCTGCCAGATCTTGTCACATTATTCGGGAAACTTGCATCCTCAACCTATCGAAGATCCTCGTTGTTCATGATTTTTGGTCTCCTTGAGCGCGGTAAACATCGCTCAAACTGAGATCTCCCGAAGAAAATTTTTTGAACCACTTCTGCTTTGATCGATCACTAACAGCAAACTAGGTATGTAACAATTTTCAGCAACTTTTTATGTGTGTGAAAAAAGAAGGCTTCATACTAAAGTGACAACAAATTTTTTGAACCACTTCTGTTTTGATCGATCACTAACAGCAAACTAGGTAGGTAACAATTTTCAGCAACTTTTTATGTGTGTGAAAAAAGAACGGTTCATACTAAAGTGACAACAGGTAATAAACAATCGCTATCGATCAGCAAGATCCATGGCAATGTGCGATATACAGCAACCGCACGAACTTATTTTATTACCTGATACAAAGACTAAAAACTAACTGATAAAGCTTTTAGCTGATATTATTGATTTATATGAAATTCGTTCTAGCGATTTCCAATCGTGAATCCTCATGACCGATTGTGTATGATAATCAAAAACAGTGGAAGCTTCGTACCCAACGATTGTATAAACATGTCGATAAACTAACCTTCTAGTTGTTCCTTTTTAGTTACATCAGTCTTTATGAACGTCGCTTTCTTAGGTCCATAGGTCTTGTTGAACTTTTCAACCGCTTCGTTTCCTTGTTTTTCGTTGACATCAGCAACTATCAGACCCTAAGACAGTAAACATGTATGGAATACCCATATCGATTTGACATAACAATTGACATTTCTGCAAATTCATCTTACTGCATTTTAAAAATTATACACGTTTTTAGTTCGGAGCCAAAAACGAGTTACCTTGATTAAACAAAGCTGAAAAGCATCAAACTGAACCTATATGGATTCTCGAGTCGGTAATGCTTCTCAAATTAATTTTGCGTCTCCATCATAGTAAAATAATAACGCATCGCGAAATCACAAATAAAAGTGAGGAGTTCGAAGTCGACCATTCACAAATGAAGACCGAGTCCACAAATCAAATAAGCAGTCTAATTCTTTTTAATAAAATGTTTAATTTTCTTAAATTCTTTTCGACATAAGCTAAGTTTCCTAAAATAATTGAACTGTTTATTAAACCAGGTACATGGTTTGCTATTTTCAAGCAAATCAGTTTTATTTATACTGTTTCAGCGACTGAGAAGAAATGCAAATACCTCAATTCCATTTTTGAGCAGCTCCTCCCCGTAGGCAAGCCCGATACCAGCTGCTCCCCCAGTAATGAGAGCGACTTTTCCTTTGAGATCATACACCATGTTGGACACTGAGACTGAGAGTGGAGATCTAATGTTCTGAATATACGAGAATCGGTAGTTACAGCACGTTGCTTTGCTTATGCGGTCAGACGGGTTTGTCGACTCGTTTTTAACTGAACGCGGTCGGTATGCAGAACAGTTCATATGTGTATAGGGTGTCCCATTTTCGATGGTATTACGGGGTATTTACTGGTGAAGATTGAGAGTTGCGGTTTTCTGGATAATGCTGTGTCTTTTTGTGAAAAGAAAGATGGTGTCAACAAAATTTTCATATCCAGCCTGATCGTTGTTCGAGATATAGGGTGAAATTAAAAACTATTGCATTTTGGGACCCCCCCTCGTATCTCAGTTGTCCTTTTATATATCGCAAAGCAAAACACTGGCTCTTGTACAATTTTTCACGTAGAAACCAGTGCCGTAGTCAGATTTCAATTCTTAGCTATAAATCAAACTTAGGTTTTTTTCAATGGGACACCATATATATTTTTGTCGATTTGTTGACATTAATATATAATAAATCTAAAATTCATAATGTATTGTATAACTGGTTAGTACGTCGTGATTGTAGAACAATGTAATGTTTTATGTTTTTTCGATGAAATTATCAGCATGTTGGAAAATATGACATGCTAGACTGCTTTATACGGAGCAAGGAAAACTCCTGTGAAGTGAACACTTGTGTGTGTTAGTTTAAATATTCATTCACCTTTTGTGATTTTTTCAATGTCATTTTAATTTATAGGTATCCAGAAAACAGGCAACCTGGTCGTTTAATGTTTTCCCAAATTAAGAAAGATCAAGTAGAAAATGTAGAATAAGGGAAATCGCGATACCTCAGAGTCATGTAGAGTTCTAGATCAGGAAGTTGATGTTCACAAGGCTCGGGTTCAAAAAATATTGACCAAATATAAATTTGGAACATACAAGATTGAAATCGTACACCATTTGTATCCTGGTGATGCAGAATAACGTTAACTGTTTTCCAACTGGTATTTGGAACAAATTCGTATAGATAACAACTTTGCCAGATCCATAACGTGGTCCGACGAGGCGTACTTTTAGAGTGTAGGTAGTTTTAATAGACAAAATATACTAAGTGACATATAAATCCGAACACCCAGTTTAAATGGTTTTATTTTAATAAATTGTAATAAATGTATTTATCTTACTGTAAATAACAAGTGAAAAAATTGTCAGCCTTATCAGTTGGACATTCCGGTTTTTATACTGCTTTTTTTTAATTCACTAACGCTCTAAAAATGAATATTTCAGCCGCCGTAAAGAATCAACGTTGGCGGATTTTGGTTCTTGACATCCTTTACGATCGGTTACGATGCCTAGAGTACGGAGACCTGTACGATTTCGTTAACTTAGTGAATTTGATAGGGGCCGTATAGTGGGACTTCGGGAAGCTGGACTTTCTTTTCGGGCAATTGCAGTTACAGTGCAAAGAAGTGTAGACACTGTGGTTAGGTGTTGTCAGTCATGGCGTCGAGAAGGCCGTATGCAAAGAGCAAGGGGCACTGGACGCCGCCGTAGAACAACAGACCGTGAAGATCGCCGCCTAAGATTATTGGCCTTAAGGAACCGTTTCTCTACTACCAGGTCCATTGCAAATGAATGGTTTGCAGAACACGGAACACCTATTGGCATGCGAAGTGTTTACCGACGAATGAGAAGTTTTGGCTTGTTTTCATACCGGCCACACTGGGTCCTCCCTTTAACTCGAGAACACCGACGTAATCGCCTTGAGTGGTGCAGACAACGGTCACTCTGGGATCAGGAATGGAACAGTATTGTCTTTAGTGACGAGTCTCGATTTTGTTTAGGCATGCACGATGGTTGTGTCAGGGTTAGAAGGCGACGTGGTGAAAGGAGGAATCCACAGTTTTTTGTTGAAAGACATGTTCATCACACTGTTGGAGTTATGATTTGGGGTGCTATAGCTTATGGTTCCAGGTCATCTTTAATTTTCATCAGAGGTAACATGAACGTGCAGCGTTATATCCACGAAGTTCTAGAACCCCATCTTTCACCCTATCTTGACACCCTGGCAGATCCAACTTTCCAACAAGATAATGCCCGACCACATGTTGCAAGAGTCACAATAGACTTCTTTCAACATAATGATGTCACATTGTTACCATGGCCACCAGGATCTCCCGACTTATCCCCAATTGGGCACGTGTGGGATATGATGGGTAGGAGATTGCTCAATTTGCACCGTCCTCCTCAGACTCTAGAAGTACTTCGAGAGGAGTTGCTGGTTGCCTGGAATGAGATACCACAGGAGGACATTGACCACCTGATCAGAAGCATGCCTAGGCGCGTTGGAGAATGCGTAGCACATCAGGGTGCATCCACACATTATTAAATGTCAAAGGGCTTTAAAGCAGTGCAATCATTTTGAAATTTTTATCATTTACTTATTATGCTTCATTAAGTACTTATACAAAGTTTTATTAAAATAAAACCATTTAAACTGGGTGTTCGGATTTATATGTCACTTAGTATATATATTGAAATTTTAAAAGATATGCCTGTGTTACTAGATAATATCCCTTTAGCTTATCTTAACATGATACATTTCTAACAGGATGATGCACCCACCCACAGTGCCAGAATTGTTCAAACTTTTTCATAGAATAATTTTCTGCAAAACATGGTCCTAATGGATGGCCTACACGGTCACCCGACCTATCCGTTATAGATTTTTTTCTGTGGGGTCATCCGAAGAATGAGATTTACAGCATAACCACCCTATGTCTAAATGGCAACCATTTTGAGCAGTTCCTTTAACGCAAATGTCTATTAAGGGGTTAATTCAGAGGTTCATTTCATGTCAATATTAAATGAAGTATTGCAAGTTTTGTTTAGTTTTATTATCCGTTAGTGTATAAAGCTGTCCACAGTGTACTTAGATTCAGCTTTTTAAAAATGTATGTGACTGTAAATAATATGTATACAGGCAGTATCACGCTTATCCGACAATTTTTTTCACATATGCACTGTTACGAAATAAGTTAATTTGTCAAGAAAAAATATATTAAAAGTCCTACAGCGATTAAGTTATAAACCTGAGTTTGAATAATAAATTCAAACACAAATATCTGTATTTTGCGTTCATCGTCGTGATATTAGAACACGCAGTAATAATTTATTGTTGCAAATGTTGTATCAGTCGTCTGATGAAAACAAAATTCCAGGTACTTTTGTTTTTTCATACTGATAAGAACGTGTTAATAAGGTTTAATCTGTATCGTGTGTGATCTGAATGAAGAACGGTTGATTTTTTTGAAGTTAAATAACAAAGAATTTTGCGAGTTTACGTTTTTATTTATTTATTAATAAAATGGGACTCTAATGAGGAGTTAGTGGACATTGTTTTAGCTTACGCAGAAGCAGGGCAAAATTCGCGAGCGTCTTAAGCTGTATGATTTTATTACCTCGATTTCTGTAGGACTTTTATTACATTTTTTTTTGAGAAATCAATTTCTTTTGTAACAGTGCATTTGTGGTTAAATGATAAGTTGTGAAACAAAGTCGCGGCCTACTAACACTATATTAATAGTACACACTATGGTAATACGTAGGTATATGAATTTTCGACTTATTAGTTAAAACACATATGCGTTATATATTTCTGTAAAGCTCATTAAATTTTCAATCAATCGATAAAAACTAAGTTTGATCTCTTGTCGAATAAAATATTAGCACTGGCTGTGACCTTTATTGTTTCTGCAGGTAGTAGGATTGTTGCGACACTAAGACACATCATTTTGTTACAGATTCTACTGGGACTTGTGTATGTTGTTGCTGCTCGTCGCCAACTTGATAATACTACCAGTGGCAATAAGTTTCTTCAATGACGATCTTAGTACCCGTTGGATCGCGTTCAACTGTCTGTCCGATACTATATTTTTAGTCGATATCGTTGTAAATTTTAGAACCGGTGAGTACGTTGACGCTATGTTATTTTTCATGTGTTAACAACCGAACTTGATCGGAAAACATTACCATGGAGCTATAGTCACTTCACTGTAGTATACAGGATGTTACTTAAGTATGTATCAAAAAGTTCGTATAATCATAGGTCTTCAAATTTTTCGCTTACAAGATACAGGGTGTTAAAATAGAAGAAAAGGTTTTTCGAAAATACCTTAAATATTCTTTACTTATTTTGGGTGCTGTTGCGTCTTGTAGAACTTCCGATTTCACTGTTTTTTCTCTCAAAACTTTTAGAGGGTAGTCTGATAGATTATTTAGAAACAAAAAAGGTGTGGATGAAGCACGCTTTTCATGAAAAAAATTTCCCAAAACATTGTATTTTTAGCTGTTCTTTCCATCATTATTTCCACCGCCATCTATCTGCCATCTGACGTAGACTTCTGTGCATATGTCACATATGAGAGGTGCTTGCCGGCGGTGTTGCCGGATTGGGCTCCGGATTTCGGGAAAAATATGAAAACTTGAAATATGTATATTAATTAATGAATCAGAAAAACGAAAAGCTGGAACAAACGATATTAGCAAAATAAAAGGCGATTCCTAATAAATAACAGCAGTAAGCTAAAAATGATAAATTATAAATAATTATAAAAAACAAAAAATAAAAACAGTAGTAAAACAAAAACTTATTCCATGTAATTATAAAAATCAAAAAATAACAAACAGCAGTAAAACAAAAAGTAGTAAAACAAAAAAAACTATTCCATGTTGAATGAAAAACAATTCTAAGTGACAACACAAAACAGTAGTAAAATGAAGAGCAATTACATTCCATCCAAATTGCTTTTTATTTTACGGTTTGTTATTTTTTGTTTTTTATAATTAAATGGAATTGTTTTCTGTTTTACTACTGTTTTAATTTTTTGTCTTCAATAATTACTTATAATTGCATTTTATTTTACTGCTGTTTGTTATTTATAGTTTTATACTTAGTAAGAATCATTTTTAATTTTACTACTGTTGTTTGTTTCAGTTTTTTGTTTTTGTGTTTCATTAATATAAATGTTTATAAATTTTCAACTTTTCATATTTTTCCCTAAATACGGAGCCCAATCCGGCAACAGCAGGCAAGCGCCTCTCATATTTGACATATCCACAGACGTCAGCGTCTTATGATAGATGGCGGTGGAAATAATGGGGAAAATAACTGGTAATGAATACTGTGTTTTGGAAAAAAAATCATGAAAAGCGTGCTTCATGCGCACTTTTATGATGTAAAATCATTTATGAGACTACCCTCTATAAGTTTCAAGTGAAAAAACAGTGAAATCCAAAGTTCTACAAGACGCAACAGTACCTTATTTTGTTGTAATTTGATGAAGTATTAATAACATTAAGGAAATAATTTGGCCCCAACTTGATTTATTAAGTCCAGTGGCGTCTCTAGCGGGACCCGAATGAATATTTGTGACAAAAAAATGTACGCTACTAACCTTTGTGCAATTTCTATTATGTTCTTTGGATTAAACAAATAGATATACAACTTTTTTGTTTTTTGAATTTTCTTCTTATCTTGCTTAGTTTTCGAGAAAAAAAGTCCACTTGATTGCTTATTCCTGGACCATACAAGGAATATCGGGAAAAGTTTCTGTTGGAAATTATTAGTTTTTATTACTAGTTATGCAACCAGTGGATAAAATGGTTATCTGAATTTTTCTGTATACAGGGTGATCCGATTCTAATTGGACATAGTGAAATGGTAGGTAATGTGGACCGAGATCCTTTCATATCCAAAAATAAAAAAAGTTAATCTTTAATACCACATATCTCAAGCACTAGTGAGCCGATTTTGACTGCATCGTAGAGCCAATCGAATAGTTAAAATCCAGGGCCGATCCCATTTTTTCACTTTTTTGTTTTTCATTAAAATAAACTGCTTTAAAGCTGAATTTCGAAATGTTTGACTACGTATAAAAAGTCAACTAAGGGTACTGATTAATCAGAAAAACAGATTGGTTCTTTTTTTTAAACATTGTTATTTATCAAATATCTTATTTTTAGCACATTATGTGACACAAAATTATCGACTTGGTTTTATGAAAATTTAAAAAATAGTCCTTAAATTCGAACTGAAGAAGTTTTGAGGACTGAAAATTTCGAAAATCAGACTCATTCTTTCATTTCCTTGAATTTTATTAAGAGCAACATCCTTTAAGTTATGCTCTGAATTTATCATCCGCAGAGTTAGAGCATGTTTAGATAAATAATATAATAATAATAAATGGCCTTTATTCGTCAGATGATTACAAAATAATTGGCTTAAAAGGAATAGCGACGAAAAGGTGGAGTGTCAGCTTATGCTGTTTTTCAACCCGACCTAAAAAACATTGACACAAACTATAAAGAGAAAAAAAAGTACCTACATCTAAATGGCAGAGTTTACAACATTGACCACCGAAAAGAGAAAAGGCTAAAATATTACACTTCGCAGAAAAAGGAAACAATCAACTAAGATTGAACATAGATCTTGTTTGTTTTCAAATGCTCACAATGTATGGAGCACGAGGAATAATTTCAAGATCACCTTACTTGTAAACTAAATTTCAATCAAAATCATACTTATTCTCGTTATCTATGAGATTTCGGTGCACGACTAAGTGTTTTATTGTGGATCAACCTCCGATTTTTTCGGTTTTTAACATTTTTCTATGTCAAATTATTGCTCTTGGCATCTACTTTTAAATACCGTTTTGTGACGTACTTTATTTCTTTCAGGTATTATGCAGCAAGATAACGCGGAACAAGTTATTCTAGACCCGAAACTGATAGCTAGGCACTACCTGAGGACGTGGTTTTTCCTCGATCTAATTTCGTCCATACCCCTAGATTATATATTTTTAATATTTAACCAAGTAAGTATTCAACAAATTACTTAATTACAATCAGCAAAATAACACTAAATACCCTCACTATAAGGCATTCGACAGTGCTTATGAATTAGCCATTGGTAGAATAATTCTTTATTCATACCATCCATGTTAAATATAACTTGCTATATATGGACACATGATCCTCTTTAATGTCTGTTTGCTGATTTTAAAAAATAGTTTTTTTGTCTCCGGATACAAACGATGCACCCAAGTCAGAACTCAGAATCGTTGGTCAAAGTTGATGACTCTTGGGAATCTCCAACCTGCGCAATTTTTGTTCAGGCCTCAACAGTCGTAGAAGCCACCTGGCTGCACTCAACTCATGTTCACATTATCGTGTAAGATGGTTCTTACCTTGAGCTTAACATGGCTTCAGCTTGATGAGTAATTTCATCATGTCTTGTTGTTTTGGGTCTTCCACTTATGGGATCGTCTTCTATGGATTCACGCCCCCACAGAAGCTGTTTCGGCCAAAATTTTATTGTGTAATTCTCGAGAATTGTTTTCTGCTGATGACCCCCGTATCTACCGCACGATATTATTACTTAGTCATAGTCTCCTCAATGCGGCTCTAATCCCATCGCAGACTGCACGAGCCCGAACAAAGTACCGTCAATACATAAACGTCCCTATTCTGTATTCATAGTTGCTCAGCAATCCAACATGATCAATCATGTGCAAACGAGCTGCCATTCATCCATACAATGCTCGACACACCGACAATTTGTTAGCACTAATGTACCGCGTACGCTCGCTTTACAAGACACGTCTATTGATTTGGAATTCCATAGGGAGGCGCATTGTGATACTCAAAAAATGGAGCGATGAGATCGTGTTAAATAGTCAGACTGAATCGGAGGAGTGGATTATTAGGTCGGGGATTCGTTTTTGGCATAAAGTTGGTAGTCTAAGGGCCGTGTCGTCACGTAAAGGCATCCTACAATAAATTGTAGGATGCCTTTATTTCATAGTCTTTTCTCTCCTTCCGAAAGGCTGGGGTGTTTCTAGATTTATACTACGAGCACTCTCTTATTGTGAGGTTTTGCTTTCTTTTTGAGTTATAGGAAATTTCTGGCTGATAAATCAGATGATATCAAGCAAAAGCATGTATAATTTCAGGCATGTTATTTGTAATATAACCTCAAAATAGAGCGCGTAACCATTCTGATGGTCCTCGAAGACTTCAATGAAAATAACAAACAATTTTTTTAATATCTTCAAAACCGTCAACTGAAGTGAAGTAAAATTTGTTACGTGGATCTACAACAAGTATTGTCCACATTCCAAAGTCTTTATTTGAAATCAACGTGCATGAGTGGCGGAGATACAGGGGATTAGTGACACTATTTTTACAAATAAAAATAGTACGACACTATTTTTTTAAAAACGCGCAGTTTTTCGAATTTTGTCTTCAATTTTCTTCAAATCAATACTCATGTGTTTTCGCAAATATAAAGAAATCCAGGAGGTTTAAATCAAAATACAAATTAGATAACACTGGACAACAAGTTTCAGTTTTTTAATTGTATCTTGTGGGAAAAGTGCACTTCTTTGTTAATTTTGGGGCGCTGAATCCAAAAATGACAATGAAATAAAAAAATTAGTTGCGGTTTAGAAAAAAAACTTTTTATTTTTAAGGATATATTAAAAAAGTAACAAGATTCATATACTTATAAGAATCACTATATGCGCTGTCTTTTTGCTGTTCTTTTATGGATCGTTTCTGGAGCATCTCTACCAAGAGTCCAACAGTAGTCTGCAAGCATGGAAGGATTCCAATTTCCCTGGTACCTTTTTTCCATTGTTGAAATATCCTGATGAAAACGTTCGCCGTGCTCATCACTTACGGCGCCGCAATTGTCAGGAAAAAAGTCCAGGTGTGAGTGTAGGAAATGTATCTTAAGAGACATATTACAGCCCATCTTTTGATACGATGACAGCATATTTTTGACAAGGGTTTTACCAGACGGAAATCATTCCGAGCAGTTTTTTCAATACCTGTTAAAGTGTTTTCAAACTGTGTATCTTTCAAAATATTTCGAATCTGTGGCCCAACAAAAATACCTTCTTTAACCTTTGCCTCACTTAGTCTTGGAAATTTCTGACGCAGGTATTGAAAAGCTGACCCAACTCTATCTAATGCCTTGACAAAGTTTTTCATTAGGCCCAACTTGATATGCAGTGGTGGTAATAAAATTTTTTTCGAGTCTACTAATGGCATATGCTGTACATTTTGTTGACCTGGCTCTAGGAATTGACGAACAGGCCAGTTTTGTCTGGTGTAATGAAGTGCCTTTGCCCGACTGTCCCATTCACACAAAAAACAGCAAAACTTTGTGTAGCCTAGCTGCAGTCCAAATAAAAGTGCAACAACTTTCAAATCGCCACAAATATGCCATTGGTGCTCATCGTACTTTATGCATGTCAATAGGTACTTCATATTGTCATATGATTCTTTCATGTGAACTGCATACCCTACAGGAAGAGATGGTAAAATATTTCCAATATGCAATAACACTGCCTTTAAACTCAATGTTGAACTGTCTATAAACAATCTCCACTCTTCTGGGTTATAGTTTATATTTAAAGCCGCCAGTAAGCCGTTAATGTTACTGCAGAAAACCAAGTTATTCTCCATATTGAAAAATGGTTCTAAGTCTTTGTGGCGTTTACGAAAAACACATACCGAAACATCGTCTTCTAACAAGTTCCACTGCTGCAGTCTTGATCCAAGTAACTCTGCCTTACTCTTACAAAATCATTTAATTCTGACTGTGTTATTTTGTGCGGTTGGTGGCGTGACGTGCTCGGTATAAAATCAGGATCTCTTGACGTTGATGGCATATCTTCTTCCTGACGAATCACTCGATCGCCATGATCTGATTCGTTTTCTGATTCGCAAGTGTAGGATTCTGGGGGTTTTGGAATAGGATTTTCGTCACTGTGAGGCACAGGTCTCATCGCAGATGGTATGTTTGGGTAGTTAATAACCGATTTTTTTTCTTGGACATACCTGTGGCTTGTCCAACACGAGGTACCATGCAAAAGTAACAATCATTAATATGATTTGTAGGCTCTCTCCAAACCATTGGGACAGCAAAGCGCATAGACCGTTTTTTCCATTTAACCAGCTCCTCAGACTTGAAGCACATGTATTACAGCAGATGTGGGGTGCCCACTGTTTGTCTTGATCACCTAGTTTACAACCGAAATAAAGCTGATATGCCTTTGTTATTAGTGGAGTAATAGACCGTCTCTGAGACGCAAAAGTCACATCAGCACACACGTAACAAAACTGATCTGGATTGTTTACACACTTTCGAGACATCTTGCATGAACGCTGTCAGCCAACTGAGGATAAAATGGCTAATATAAAACAATATAATGTACACGTATGTATAACGTAACACAATCATGCCGATTAAATCATCTTTCCTTGCCGAATATAAAAATGTAGCACGTGCATTCTTGTGAATTACAGTATATTAACACTGTCACAGCAGGAACACATATAATTACCGTATCTTTAAAACTTGAACTAATATTGAAAAAATAAGATTCATTAGGGTTTTAGCACATTAAAAATAGTAATATTTTGTTGATTTTATTTAGGATATTTTTTGGCTGTTGATCAGTGTAATCAAAGCTTTATTAAAATAAGTGTTCAAAAAGACCACCATTCCGAGGGATACAAGTGCGGTATCTTTTTAATAAAGGAAAATGTACTTCGGCAAAATTTGTTGTGGCTTAAATTTGATGAACGAATTATTGAAATATTCTTTCTTGTAACTGATCAAAAGTACTAATTTGTTCAGCATACACTAGTTGTTTAAAAGCGCCCCATAGAAATAAATCCAGCGGGTTTAAATCAGGAGACCTCGCAGGCCAATGTGCGGGTCCATTTCTGGCAATCCATCCTTGTCAAAGATGCTTATTTAACCATGCAGTTATGTCTCCACGAACATGTCGTGCTGATACTACATTCATACTCTCGTCGCTAACGAAACATTACTTAACACATCTTCTATGTGCTTCACTATCTCCGCCACTGGTGCCCGTTAATTTTAAGTAAAGACGGCTACTCCACGTACCTACTTTTAGTTCATTTCAGTTGACGCTTTTTAGGATATTAAAGAAACTGTTTTTTATTTTTAAACTTCTTTAATGAATTCCTCGAGAAAAAAATGTTTCAAAAAATGCGGTACTGTGTACGATGTTTCATTTTTGGTCAGTACTTGTGAATCACCCTTGTGGCACCCCTAACAGAATATCTATGCTTTCCGAATAAGAACCATCAATATAGAGTAAGTAGCTTTAAATCAAAGACAGTGAGGAGTCATTAAAACCATATCCGTTAGAAGACTTTAAGCTCGTTGTTCGACCAAGTCTGACCATAACGATTGTTCAATTTCCAGTTCCAGGACTACGGCGACAGCTTCCAGATCCTGCACGCAGGTCGTGCCCTGCGCATCCTGCGTCTGGCCAAGCTGCTGTCGCTCGTACGACTGCTGCGACTCTCCAGATTGGTGCGGTACGTCAGCCAATGGGAGGAGGTGTATGTAAGTACCATTGCACCCACATTTTCGTTCGTTGTTTCGGTGTAGAGTTGATTGGTTGGGGTTATTTGTGTCGCTGGGTAGTGCAGCCAGGGGATGGCGAGGTTATTGGGGAGGGTAGAGGGCGTGACGGTGGAATGTGAGATCGTGTTCAACTACTGTCTGCGTATAAAGGGATGAGCAAGCGCCAAGCATTTTTAAGAACGCCGATGCATAAGGGAGTTGAAAGATTAATGAGGAGCATCATCGCACAGTGCTCTGGAACTCTCGAAAAGCTGGCAAAAAATGAAGTAATTGATAAATTGGTGAAATTGATCATATATATATATATATATATATATATATATATATATATACAGGGTGTCCCAGAAGTCGACGTCAAGCCGAAACCGGGTGATAGGCAAAGTCATAACAGCTATCAGAAAAATATTTAAAAAAATTTTATGTATGAGTTTTGAAAATTATAGGTCTTTGAAAAAAATATAGAAATTTCACACCCTACGGCAGTCTGTCAACTCCTGTTACTACAAATATTAACTTTTCTTGGATTTTATTTTTACAATGTAATGATGAATAATGCATCTTCAAACTGGTGCCTCAACCTTACTGCCAACTTTTCTCGTTCAGGAAAAATTGCCACTTATTTCCCAACCAAGTATTCCAAAGTAAAACTTTGCTCAACTTTAACTGGCTGTACTGGAAAAAAATGTACTACGAGAGTTTGGCAAGTAACCTTAAAAGTTGGCGCATTTAATAAGGATTCCAAAATGGTATAACACTTAGAAGATTACTCGTTAACTTATGCACAAATTTCATTTCAAGAAAAACTGATGAAAATTTTTCAAAATTTCCTAATTAAACAGCGATTATGGAAACGCACAAGGACCCTTAAGGATAACTGTTTGCACAACAGTGGGCGTCAAAATGCTGCTGATGATGATTTACCTTTACAGCAAATGCTCAAACTGTTTTCCTTCAGTCACAATACACGCTCGACATCTTCTTAAAAAAGATCGGGTGATTAAACGAGCGAATCCACGGTTATTAACAAACTCAGCTGCTTCCAATAGTCTTTGCCGTAGCTCAGCTACATTTTGAATCGGCTTGAAATACACTTTTTCTTTTACAGTTCCCCAGTAAAAAAAATCTAACGGATTCAAATCTGGTGACTGGGCTGGCCACGGTATTGTACCAGACCGCACTATCCATCTGCCTGGAAAGTTTTGATCGAGATACTCTCTCACTGAGAATGCATAGTGCGCTGGGCAGCCATCATGCTGAAACCACATGTCCCTGTAAATACTCAGTGGCACGTCCTCCAATAAATTTTCTAAATGATTTTGCAAAAAACCTAAATAAACCTCAGCAGTCAAAGTCTCTGGGAACTCAAACGGACCGATTATTTTACCATTTAAAATTCCTGTCCAATGGCTTATCTTGAAGCGATATTGAGATTTATCTTCTCTCATTAAATGTGGGTTTGCTACATGCCAATCGTGTAAGTTATGCAGGTTCATGTACCCATCTTTCTTAAATGTGGTCTCATCTGACCATACAATTTTTTCAAAGAACCGTGGATCTTTAGATTTTTTTACTGGGGAACTGTAAAACAAAAAGTGTATTTCAAGCCGATTCAAAATGTAGCTGAGCTACGGCAAAGACTATTGGAAGCAGCTGAGTTTGTTAATAATCGTGGATTAATTTTATTTTAGAAACTTTTTCAACCCATGTAGAATAAACCGTAAAAATGTCAGCTTGCTACAGAAGCTATTGTGTTTAGCCGCTCTTTATGGCGATTTACCGAAAAATGTGGAAGATAAATTAATTTAACTAACTTTCAAAGATCAATCACTAAAGTCCAACCAACATCTATTTATGCTGATAATTCTGAAAGAACTGGAAGAACTACGAACCAACGCGAGCGTTGAAGAACTGACGCATGCATCTCAAATGAAAATAAGAGCAGAGGGACGTGTGAATGCTGCAAAGATGAAAGATGTACTTAACCTAAGAATCGTTCTTTCAGGCATCCATTTTCGTAAACTTTTCTGAAATAAAAATACCATATATTTACTTGTTTGTTATGTATGAAATATACTATTTCTGCATTTTTACAGTATCCTTCTTATTCAGCAACCACTATAATATTGTAATCAGATCAACTTATTTCAAGGATCTAATACCACATAAGATACGCCATATTGAATTTCTGTTCTTTGACAACAGATTTGAAATCAGCAGAAGTAGCATTTGTTGCCAGCTTTTTGTGCGTTCAGGAACGTTTTTGCTGAATATCTCGTCGACGATTGCCTTTTTGTGAGAAAAGTCGATAGTTAACTACTTTACTACAAAGCTACTAACATAAATATTTCGTTAAATGACCACTGTGCATAGCATGCGGTAGGAACAAAGAACCTGTTATTGAGCTTCAGTTCAGTAGTTGCCAAACTTGTGTCCCGCTCGAAAACAAAATCGACGGCTCTGAGCGTTTTTCCAAAAAAAACTGAACTGTTAGTAAATGCGTCTGTTTCGTTTTCGATGCGCCACTCTGTATGTTTAGCTGTTGGGAACTAACGAACTCATCCATTGAAATTAGAGTTATTACATTTATATGTAAACCTCAAATATACTAAGTGACATATAAATCCGAACACCCAGTTTAAATGGTTTTATTTTAATAAAATTTTGTATAAATACTTAATGAAGCATAATAAGTAAATGATAAAAATGTCAAAATGATTGCACTGCTTTAAAGCCCTTTGACTTTTAATAATGTGTGGATGCACCCTGATGTGCTACGCATTCTCCAACGCGCCTAGGCATGCTTCTGATCAGGTGGTCAATGTCCTCCTGTGGTATCTCATTCCAGGCAACCACCAACTCCTCTCGAAGTGCTTCTAGAGTCTGAGGAGGACGTTGCAAATTGAGCAATCTCCTACGCATCATATCCCACACGTGCTCAATTGGAGATAAGTCGGGAGATCTTGGTGGCCATGGTAACAATGTGACATTATGTTGAAAGAAGTCTATTGTGACTCTTGCAAGATGTGGTCGGGCATTATCTTGTTGGAAAGTTGGATCTGCCAGGGTGTCAAGATAGGGTAAAAGATGGAGTTCTAGAACTTCGTGGATATAATGCTGCGCGTTCATGTTACCTCTGATGAAGATTAAAGGTGACCTGGAACCATAAGCTATAGCACCCCAAACCATAACTCCAACAGTGTGATGAACATGTCTTTCAACAAAACTGTGGATTCCTCCTTTCACCACGTCGCCTTCTAACCCTGGCACGACCATCGTGCATGCCTAAACAAAGTCGAGACTCGTCACTAAAGACAATACTGTTCCATTCCTGATCCCAGAGTGACCGTTGTCCACCACTCAAGGCGATTACGTCGGTGTTCTCGAGTTAAAGGGAGGACCCAGTGTGGCCGGTATGAAAACAAGCCAAAACTTCTCATTCGTCGGTAAACACTTCGCATGCCAATAGGTCTTCCGTGTTCTGCAAACCATTCGTTTGCAATGGACCTGGTATTGAAGAAACGTTCCCTTAAGGCCAATAATCTTAGGCGGCGATCTTCACGGTCTGTTGTTCTACGGCGGCATCCAGTGCCCCTTGCTCTTTGCGTACGGCCTTCTCGAAGCCATGCCTGACAACACCTAACCACAGTGTCTACACTTCTTTGCACTCTAACTGCAATTGCCCGAAAAGAAAGTCCAGCTTCCCGAAGTCCCACTATACGGCCCCTATCAAACTCACTAAGTTGACGAAATCGTACAGGTCTCCATACTCTAGGCATCCTAACTGATCGTAAAGGATGTCAAGAACCAAAATCCGCCAACGTTGATTCTTTACTGCGGCTGAAATATTCATTTTTAGAGCGTTAGTGAATTAAAAAATAGCTGTATAAAAATCGGAATGTCCAACTGATAAGGCTGAAAATTTTTTCACTTGTTAGCAAAATATGAGACAAAGAAAGTTCTATTTGTATTTGCTTAATCCAAGGAACATAAAAAACGCACGAAGTCCACACCAACTAAAACGTCTCGCCCTGATTGGTATTACAAGCTTCGAAAGATAAGATTGGCTTGAAATGTTGGCGTTCTTAAAAGCTTGGTGCTGCTCTTTGGCGTACGCTGACAGTAGAAAACGTCAACACCCGATATCCGCGTTCCTACGTTTTGTTTCTATAGCTTGACCTACGCAGCAGTAGGCTAAGTGAGGTTTGCTAACTGGAAGATGTGTATAAAGAAAACTCAGATCCCTTAAAATTGAAGGAAAGCTCTTATGTATCAACAACATGCAACACCTTCCATAAATTATACGTACCTATGTTTATCTTTTAATGTTTTAAGATATTTTCTGTTCTATAGATGAACCTAAATACTTACATTCTGCTAAACAAATCTAAACTGGCTCGTCTGTCTCACATAGACGACTTCTATGGTATCTGAGAAATGTTGCGTGGATTATTATACTATACTGCTCAAAAAAAGAACAAGGAAAAACGAAAAAAATCCAAATTTTCTCGGGGATCTTTGACAAACGATTTTGAGGCTTTAAGATTCTAGTTTTCAAGTTTTTTTGCCAAAAGTAGTTAGGAGCAAGGGATCTCATGCAATTCCAACAGAGAGCGCAAGAAACATTTTTCGCAAAATGTATTCCTTCTAGTCCTCGGGCTCGAAAAAACTTTTCTGTTGACCCATAATTTGGATCAGATAGCCCGCTTATTCAGCTTCAATATCCTGTTTTTAAAATCTCGATACTATCATTAGGGGTGGAGATATCCGATTTTGAGTGAAGACTATCGACCACTGATATCTCGGTAATCACTGATGGCACAGAGAGTGTAAGGGTATTTCCAAAAATCTCCTATAAGATTTGATTGCAATCTCTGAGAAACCGTACAGTGGACCGATCTGCCGTCATTCAGGGTTATTGGAGGTACATTGAGGTATAAAAAAACCTAGTAAATATTAGCCTTCTCGTTAGCAGTTCCAAA